ATTTGGCTCTGCTGTCACTCCTTGCTCTTCAGTTCTTTCAGTTTTCCTTATTATCATATAGAAAAAGTGGACATTTAAAAAATACTTTCAAAATTTGTTAATATAAAACTGCTTGTGGGTATTCAAAATATATGGTGCATGGTTAGATTTTAAACTTTTTACTACAGTAAAAGACACACTGCCATTAATTCTCCCTCAAAATACTTTCCCTTGCTTTGAACACACTCATCCCATCATACTTGCTACGTTCTGAAGCAGTTCAGGAAGTTCTCTTTCATGAATGTCTTTATAAGATGTGATAAAAAGTAAAAAATACAGTGAATGCTGCTGTCAACTGCCATCCAGCAGAACAGCAGGCTTCTAAAAACATTACAGCATGTCCTCATCCACCTTATTCAGTGGATCTGACAACATGCAACTTCTGGCTCTGCCCAAGTCAAAATCATCATGGAAGGTAAACATTCAGAATCAATTCAGGACAAGTCAATTATAACAGCACAACTAAAGACACTCAGAAAAGAGGATTTCCAGAACTACTTCAGAAAGTAGCAAGAACAATAAGATAAATGAGTTCTAAGTGAGAGGGAGTATTTTGAGGGGGATTAATGGTAATGTATCATTTACTGTAATTATTGAAATAAATTTTAATTTAAACACTATTTCCTTTTCTTTTTTTTTTTTTTTTTGGTATCAGGGATCGAACTCAGGACCTTGTGCTTTCAAGACAGGCATGGTGCCACTGAGCTAAATCCCTGACTTAAACACTATTTTCAATTATATCTTGTATAATGAGTAGAAAATTCCCAAGAATTCACATAAAAAGAATTCACAGGAAAATCACCCTCACCAAATAATCCTCACTAAAGAAGGCTTATCATGATATTTCAGACAGAGAGAAAAAATCAGTCCACATGGGAGTGAAAGAATAAAGGATTATGGAAGAAAAGCGTCTAGGGAACAAAAGAGGAGGAAATCACTTCCATAAATAATACTAATAGGATAGATATTTGGTAGGTCTGATGATGATGTATTTAGCTAGCTACAAAAAATGAAGCAGAGGAAAAACCAAAGCAATTATGAACTCTGGGAAAAACAAAAAGTCATATAAAAAGGAAAGAAAAGCAGTACATTCAGATATATACACAAAAACATAGGCAAAACAAAAATAAAATAACTGCTAACTCCAGGACAAACCAAAAACTCTATAAGAAAGGATGGCAAAGGAAACAACTTGCTTTTGCTGTATTTACACAATCAACATAATATAAATACTAAAGCTTGAGGTAACAAAAAATTGTGATTTAACTCTTCTGAGGAAATGAGAAGGAACAGAAGAAGTGGTTGGAGTAACGAAGTTAAATTCTTGATTATTATTTCAAGAACCCAATATATAATATCTAAAATGAATAAGTTAAGAAAGTCAGTTATTAAAAAATAATATAGAGGTAAACATTAGGGGAAACATCTGAAGGAATTAAAAGTGATATAGGAGATAGGAAAATCTGAGTCAAGGAGCTACTATGTTGTTTAAAACATTTTAGCACAACTTTATCTTATTACTATAATAAAAAAGTAAATTCACTTGAAATAATATTTAAATATATTCAAAAAACTAATAAAAATTAATTTTAAAATAAAAAATTGAAATAAATAAATGAAATTTCCAACTGATTTTATCTTTGGACATCAGAAGCAGAACCAGGCTTCATGAAGCCAGAAACATATATAATCTTGGACCACAAACATATATAATCTTGGGGGACAGTACTTCTTTCAAATAAAAGAATATAAAATTTAAAATGTAAAGTCAGATAAAAGTTCACAACAAATTACTGGAGTCTTGGAGAGTTACATTATGTCTTTAGGTTACTGACCAAAAATGCTTACAGAAGTGTTTGATACTGCAAACTCACTTCCTTTTCCTATCCACTTGGACAAGTGGTGGGCCAGCCCCTGCCTGCAACTACACTGACTTCATAGTAAATCAGGTTCTAGATAGTCTGAGACAAAACATAACACATTTCAGACTGTGTGTATACAAAAACAACTGAACTACAATTACCCTGATCCTCAGGGAGGAAACAGCTTGATAGGAAAGAAAACACAGAAGACTAGAACCTGGGCTTTTGTCCAAGCTCTGTCGCCTGTGCATGCCACCTGAGTTTTGACTTCATCTGTGAAGGGACTGAAGATAATTCATAAACTAACTTCTTGATCTGAAATTGCTTTTTATAAATAACTATTGTAAAAATAAGCATAAGAGGCTAGAGGTATAGCTCACTGGCACAGTATGTACTTATTGGGCTCAATCTTCAGCACTATCAAAACTAAAAGTAAAAACAAGAATAAATGAAAGAATATACTTTTCTATTGACATAAGAGTGTAACTCTTGGTAGAATTACAATAACAAAACAATAAGAAAAAGAGAACTTCTATTTCCTTAGCTTCTTTACAATATCAATGGTGAATTCAAAATATTATCAATAAAAGTTAATCAAATATATTAAGTCATCAATTTTAATAACTGGATTAGTATTTCTGGGTGGCAGTACAGAGCAGAAACTTCAACATAACCCATCTGTCTCTCTTTTGATTCCCAGCAGAGCTTTGCCCAAAGCAGAAGCTCAGTAAATGATTATTATGAGAATCATGTAAGCTTAGGCTGCCTTAAATGTTTTATAAAGTACTATACCAATACAAGTTTTTTACAAGTACTGGGTTGGACTAAACGAGGGCTCTATCACAAACATCCCTAACCCTCTGGATAGTTAAAGGACTCTAACCGTAAACCTTCATCCAGATTGCTCTCCACATCCCTGAGCTAATGAGGGACCATCTGCTTAAGGATGCACCTCTCATACCACCTCTAGTTACCCAATATTTCATAAACAAGTTATTATTCTTACTATTTCTTCCCTTCATAAAATTCAACACTGTGTATCTCAGTCTTCACTTTTCCAGATCAGAGCCCAATCATTTTCTCTCTCTCCTCCCATCTCTATTTTAGTCGCCCTTTTATGAATTTTCTTTCTTGTTTTAGCCAGTATACATATAATGCATAAGTCAAGGAATACATGTCTCGTATTTTTTCTTCAGGAGAAGAATATTGTATATTTGTGATACAAGTTCTCATGCAGCTTGCTGGTCATGTTGGCACAATGGTTGATGTCTTATAAAGTCATAATACCTAGCATTTCTTAAGTACCTACTCTAAGCCAGGTGTTACTGTAGCGTATTATATGTATTATTCCTTTCCTCCTCTCAACAAACCTATAAAGTAGGTACTATTCTTATTCTCATTCTATAAAAGAA